TTGCTCTTAAACACATCAGTGCTGCCTACAAAGTAGCAGTTCATTTTGATTACTTTGTCTGCAAACATAACATTACTAAAAAAAAAAAACCAAAAACAAAACAATGTAAGTTACTCTCCAATAATGCTTTGCAAACAAAACCACGACATGTTCCTTATGGAACTTGTGCTATGGGTTCCCACAGTAATAACAAAAGCAAATCTATGATAAAAGCTGGATGTAAAGAATTTGGTTAACTACAAACCGATTGTATTTCAAGACTATTTCCTTTTCTCCATTAATCTTCTACACAGTAACAGAAATGGCTTGTTGTACACTTTAGCTGAACACGTCTCATACACAAGCACTTTTCTGGGGGGAAAAACTGCAAGAAAACAAAGCTACTGTTATAAGAGGTTTCAAGAGCAAACCTACCATTGACTGTTAGTGCTACCCATAAGCTTTAGTCTACCCTTTTCAAGCACACAGCAATAAAATGTCTTATAAAATACAACAGTGGAGATTGTTTTGAATAAAGAAAAGAACAAGCAAGAGGCAGGGAAAAGGGACAAGCTTTGTGTATTGTTTTCTGTTTATATTTAAGTGCATTTTTGCTCTTACAACCACCCTCAAGAAATGAGTCCTCTGGCCTAAAGACAGTAACCAAATAAATTAGTCATAGAAATTGGCAGGCTGTGAAATACACACACGCACAAACCCAAAACAAGAGAAAAAACCCTACCAAAGGATATATGGCATATCTGTGTACCTTGCCAGAACAAGAAAGATAGTCAACAGATAAAAAAACCGTGGTGAAAAGAAGAGAGAGGGTTTTACTTCATTTTTTTAAGAGAGAGGTAAATATACAATTCATGCAAGAGGTAAGTAACTCTCTGGATATAAAGTGAGCTTGCTATGAATTACAGCAGGCTTATAATTAAAAAGAGCTGGAAATCCTTAACTGCTACTCTGCATCCAGTCATTAATGCAGCCAGTTACACACTGCAGTCATTAACATACCCATAAATTGTTTACCTAGCTACTGTTATACAGCAGCTCTGTATTTAAAATGCGATTCCCACTCAATTGGACTGGAACTACCGTATGTTTTATATGTAGATGCTACAGTAATGGCAGAAGGAACAATAAAATCTGCTTAGAAAGTCATGATAATTTAGAGAATATCTTCTTTAAGAGAATAATTATGTAAAATTTCAGTGTTCAAGGAAACCTCACAGGTTCTGTATATCCTTCCCTAAAGAACATAGCGGATCTTTTGTTACAAGACACCCCTGAGACAGAATAAAGAAGTCAGTGTGGGTTCATGCCAAGTCCTATAATGAGCAAATGATGACCAAGAGAAAAAATAAAAACTTAGATCTTGGCTCCAACCTGACTAAGCAGAGCATTTTCTACAAAAATAACAAACCTACTTCAGTAGTTTGAGAGTGGCAATGTCAAGATTAATATAGGAATATACAAGCTTTCTATTTTTACTATAAAAATATTGCGCTCATGTAGATCAATCAAATTCTTTATGATAGCTCTCTCGTATACAGTTTTGTCCCCTTACAACCAATATAGAAGATTACAAGTCTGTTCTTTGAATTTATACCAAATCCCATTCCCAAGTTATAGCTTCTTAATTACTGAGAAAATTCATATGTTTCTGTAAAGAACTGCTTACCCATGCTGTGCTTTGTTTTCTGCAGGATGTCTTACTTCAGAGCTTCAGACATCATCTCTCCCATGTTCTTGGAATAACACTTATCTGTTATTTTGGTATGCTAAAAATTCCTTTATATTATCAAAATGTGATATAAATTGCATTTTTTCTTCTGAATCAGCACAACACACTTTTCTTTCAAACCTACTTCAGAAGTGGAAAATAATGTTCTATTCTACACTTTTAGCTAAACTGCAAAACAATACTTGACGACTACAACTACACTTCCATTGAGACATAGAAAAAAAGACTAGTATTGGCCTAGGAAAGAAAGGCTTGTTTTTACTTGCTTTCTTCTTGCTTTCCTACATATAGCAAAATGAACACAGAAAAAGTTAGAGGGAGGGAGATTAATCTGATACAGTTCTCCTGTTACAGTTAGCCACTCATCATCACAACCAGGACAGCTGGGACTAATCAAGGGTCTGAATGAAATAACATGGGCATCCTTCCATATAAAAGCTTTAAAACAGAATAATATTGTAATTTCAAGTACTTTTTCTTATTATTAGAGATTAAAGTTGCATTTTAAATGCGGTAAAAAAACATACCTTATATTATGATTAGCAACAAGTTTCCTTCCCAATGATTATGTGCACTGAAAACACAGAGAAATAGAAAAGAGTTTACTTTTTTTACACGTACTGGGAAAAAAGTATATTAACTGTCCCAAGGGAGGGATAAATGCTGGTTTATTACAATGCAAATCTGTCATTCACTATGACATGCTTTCTTAAGTACATTAAAGATCCCTCTAGGTACTCTGCTCATGTACTTCTTTTCCGCAGATGCTCAGTAATCTGAAAACAACTGTTGTGCTGTAATCCTGTTCTTCCAGAAACCTCTCTTAATCTCTCTCCTGTTTACAGGCTAGTTACCTGTGAACAAATAGCCTAGGGTATCACCTGCTGTAATAAACAGCAAGATGCCGCCCCAGGCCTCAGGTTTCATTTTGTCCCCTTTCTCAAAAATACGACATATGGCTCCCCTTTTCCATTTCTTTATATTATTTTCAAACCGCCAAACTAACACAAATTAGTTTTTAAAGTCTTATCCCCTCCTGCTCTTAACAATTCAGTGGGAACATTATCAACACCTGGGGCTTTATTGTTCCTGGGTGTTCTGGTGCCTCTTGGTTCTTCTACAAATGGCTCAGCTGGCTGGAAAATTGCTGTTTGTTTGCCTTTACCCATTTCACTATTAAAGAGATCGTTAAAATACTCCCTCCATCTTTCTGTAATTGCATTCTTTGTAACTAAGATTTCCATTTTTGTCCTTTATCTGACTCATGCACAGTTCACGTCCTTGTCTCAAATGCTGATATCTCAGTGAATTGGTCTGAAGCTATCTTAGTACACTGCCGCTTCAACTGTACAGAGACATTTTTGTACCAGACTATCTTTTTGCTGAATCATTTGCATTACCAGAAGACTCATGGAAGTCACAAGATCCTTGTCACATATCAATGTTCCATTGCTTTCTTATACTCTTGATCAAAAACTGTTTATTTTTTTCTCAGAGTTTTTCCTGTTGTTTCCTCCTGCTCTTTTCTTTACTCCATATGTTTCCCAGCTGGTATAAAACTGTTGCACAATGTTCAAGCATGTTCCCACCTGTCTCTTTGGTGTTCAGGTCTTTATTTTGGTTCTCAAGGGAGAATATTACACTTAGAACTTCTCTCTTCATTAGAACAACTCTGTCATTTTCTGAAACAGTAAAATACATCTGAGGCATCTACCTTCACTAGATTTGTTCACTGACAGCTTTGAAATATCAAATGGTTACTAGTAACTTCCACACATTTGTTGTGAAGGATACAGATGTTAACTTTAGTAGATTTTTAACCATCTTTTCTAGGACACAGAACGGCAGCTGGAACTGTATATGCATCACAATTACCAAAAGAGAATTTCAGTTGACTCAGGTTCACTTTGAGTTACTGTGGGAACTCCATGGAGATTTCAGTTTAATGACTCCAGATGAATACAGAGGCACCCAAGGATTCCTCCTTCAGTAAGTTTACATGGTACAGCTATTTCTAAATGCTGACACAAGCTATTAATCTCTTTTCCCGTGCTTGTGCATTGCCTTTCTTACACTGCTTTATGGATGTCATTCCTTCGTGTACATTACCAGTAAGTTGTTCGCACAGGAAAACCCCAGCACACCCCAGTCTGTATTCACGGGCATCCAGAATCCCTCAGACCAAGGGCTGTGGATTAACCCCTACCACAAACTGCAGCACACAACGAGCTTCACTACAAAATTTTATTGTAACACACACAAAACAGCGTGTTTCTTCATACTGCTTGAAGAGTGACAAAAAATAAAAACCCTGAGGCAAACAATATTGAAAATTTTGGCTTAGATTACATAATTGTAGCAAAAATAGTCTACAACATCATTTTTTTTTCAAGCCTTCCCCAGCACAGCCTCTCCCCGTCCCGCCCTGGCTCCCAGGCCCTTTCCTTCCCCTTGACCTCCGCAGGCGCAGCCCGAGGTGAATCCCCGCGTTCTCCCCACAGCTCTGCCCCTTGCCGGAGCCACCCACCCTCCCAGGGGTTTCTGCCGAGCCCCGCAGCCCCCAGCCTCCCCATTTCCTCTGGCTCCATCGCTGACCACGACTCCCCGCCCTCAGTCCCCTGCGCGGCTCCTCAGCGCTGTGACAGACACCGGGAGAGGTGCCTCCTGCCCCGCGCAGAGCTTCCGGGAGCTCCCTGCCCGTAGTCCAGCCGAGATGGG